TCTCACAATAAGACATGAACGAAGAGGAAAATGGCAGACTTGGTTCACTTAGCTGTAATCCTGGTGCAGCTGCAAAGTTAAAAAGGTTCAGCTTGGTTTTTGTTTTTACGCAGAGCGCATCGGATCCTTCAATCACCGAGGCCAATTTTCTTCTTCTCTTCCACACACACACACACACACACAAACACACACACATAAGATATGGCACGTGGTCCGGTGACGACACACGCCCTCCTCCTGGTCCGGGTCCAGCCTGCTGCTCTCCTCTCTGTTGAACCAGGCAAACTGCAGTTGTTTCATGGATTTGTCAACAATGGGACATCAGCAGTGCTGCTTCCCGCTGATTTCTGTGTGCGTCCGTCATAGACCATTCATCCGTGGCAGGGGGAGGAGGCGGATAGAGGTGTGTATGTGTGTGTGTGTGCGTGGAAGAGAAGAAGAAAATTGGCCTCGGTGATTGAAGGATCCGATGCGCTCTGCGTAAAAACAAAAACCAAGCTGAACCTTTTTAACTTTGCAGCTGCACCAGGATTACAGCTAAGTGAACCAAGTCTGCCATTTTCCTCTTCGTTCATGTCTTATTGTGAGATTATGCACGAAAATGTAGTTTTAAAATGTATATTTTACCCTTTTTCTTTCTTTTTTTTGCACGCGCGCCTCAACGTCCTCAGCGTGTTGCTCCACGCAGCGAACGCAGAAAAAAACACATTAAATCTGTTTATTCCCGCAGGATCAGCTGAAGGTGGGGAGCAGCAGCAGCAGCAGCAGCAGGATGAGGAGAAATAAAGAATTTCCTTAAAGAGTTGAGAAAAGGTGCCGACGACTCCGATTATTGTTTGATTTTTACGCATAAAAACCAGAAAGCGCGCGCGCTTGGAGGCGCGCGCTGCGCTCCGACAAGATTTGCAGGTTGGAAATTTTTGGAGGATTAAGAAGGAAACAGGCTTGTTGTTGTTTCTTACATAATGCTTACACTTTAAGTTTGTAAGCTAAAATAAATTATAATAAAAATCTAAATGCATTTATTTTCGTTTTGAAGGAACAATTGATTAGAAGATGTTTAATCTAGGCCAGCTATAATTATGGAATTAACAATGTCAAATATTTCTTATAAATAAGAAATTCGGCTTTATTCAGATTTTTTTCTTTACAAAAGATATTATAATTCAGAATGTTGGCAGTGTTACTTCATTCATATTTTGATGTTTAACATTTCTCTCATGTTATATTTATTATTTATTGATTCGTAAAATAAAAAAGCAGTTTCACAGATTTAAATCATTCCTTTTTTAATTTTATTTTATTTTTTATAAAGCCAACATTTGAACCGTGGAAGCGCTTCTTTCATGTGCTGACACCCGGGCTAACAGAGGGCCTCATTAATGATGCGCGTTGGGTTCAGAGGAGGGAAACGCGGCTCCCGGTGCACCGTGTTAATCTCTCGGTGACCTGAGAGCTCCAGGAGGTCCGTTAATGTGGACTGGAGTCCTGCTCCGCCCCGCCGAGCCAAGGTGCGCTGAAGGGTTTTTGTTTTTTGCCATTTTAAAACTAAATTTGTTACCTCTGATGCATTTAACAACATTTTTACCGACAATTTTCATTTGATTTCTTGTCAAATAATTTGCCTGCTACAAATTATTTTTATGCAACCAATAAATCTCATATATTTTATAACGTAAACAAAAGATGTTCATTTTAGAAGGAAATGTGAGCTCTTTTTGTGATTGTTTTCCTTTTTTCCCCCTTATTTTTAGAGATTCTGGGGATTGGACAACCTCCTTTCTTCCGCCTCTATCTGTGTGTTTGTGAACAGACAGGTGCAACCG